ACGTGCTGAGTCTTCTGGAGAGCTGCTGCAATTTCTTGTCATTGTTGGCATCATCGGCTGCCTTCTGAAGCGCGGTGTTTCGCTCTTCCTCCTGGTGCTTGACGACTTCTTCGTGAGTGGGCGGCAGCCTCTCATTTTGTAAATCAACCTTTCGAGCATCCTCGAATCCGTTGATTGCGTTCTTGAGACCTTCGGCACCAAGCATGAGGGTTCCCGCGGGCAATCTTCCACCAGATACAGTCTTGAGTTCTGTGACCTTCTCCGACTCCTCGCGAAGAACTTGGAATACACGAGACAGGCGACCGATGGCGAGAATCTTGTTCTTGATGGCTCTGCGTCGCACTTCGATCGACTCAGGGTCGTTGGACAAAGCTGGCGAAGCGGGGCCAGGCGAGGTTGAGGAGGGCGTCTCTTCTTTAAGTTCCTCCTCGGAACAGGTGCTGAGAATCGCGATGAGCATATCGGTGATCTTCTCTCCTACGAAAGGAAGAGACCAGGTGAAAACATCCATGAAGTTGGGTAGCCAGTAAGGATGAGGAGTGCAATTGAATTGCCGAATGTTCATAACGTTGTTCTCATACTTGAGTACAGCTGCTTTGTTGTTATAGACATCGAGGTAATTGGGGGCGGAGAAAATGGTCATAACACTTGGAAAACCGGTGGTTCGGGTCTTGCGGTACATGCGATAGCCGGCATCTTGGGCCTCGTGAGCACGGATAATAGAAAGAAGGTTGTTCTTTTCCAAGAAGGCGCAAGCAGCTGGATAGGAGAAGAAGTATGAACATCCTCGGACATGGTTGTGTAAGAAATAGTCGCTTGTCTTCTCCTGGCCGAAGTCTTCGAGAGGATCAGCCCAAAGGATGTCGCACATAAGACCCTGAGTAGGGGGCTCGCGGAAACGATCAATCTAGTTATGTCAGTCACAGAAATGTGGGCAGGATGCGGATCAACGAACGCTCTTCAAGTCGTCGAGTGTGTGCAACTCGGGGCTCAGTCCACCATGAATACAAAGAAACTGCTTGTTCATAACAGCAGCAAGGGGAAGAGCGCAGAATGACTCCATGCAGGCCTCGTAGATAGTCTCTGAGTATTTATGCTTGCATTCAAGTTTGAAGGTGAAGTAGTCAGTCAAGTGACGACATTCATGGTTTCCTCGCAACAGCCAGAGGGTCTTGGGGTAATGGATCTTGAGACACCAGAGGTAGAGGACACACTCTATGCTGAAGTAGCCTCGATCGACATAGTCACCGAGGAAGAGGTATCGGGTCTCAGCGGGGTCACCGCCGACTTCAAACAGCTTCATCAGATCGTAATACTGGCCATGAACGTCACCACAGACAGTAATGGGAGCGTCCATCTCCAAGAGGTTGGGCTCGGCGCGCAGAAGTTCGGTACCCTTCCTGATGATCCAAAGAGCCTGCTCTTCGGTAAGACGACCCTCGCGATAGAAATGCTGCTTAAGAAACTGAAGGTTGGGCTTGGAATGGGTGTCATCTTCGAAGAATTGCTCGTCGGTAGGCTTGTACATGGCAGGTGCTTGGACATCTGTGAAAATGTGATAGATTCGAGTCAGTCAAAGTGAGGAAAGCTTATGAGAAAGACCATAGCTGCAATGTTGTAGGTACCATGATACCAGCCCGAGTGGTAGCTAGGAATATTGTGCACAAATCTGCGACAGCATTGTTGTCGATGATGATGGCGGGGTTGAGGCGGCGACAACTGGAGGGGATATCACGAACCTTTGCACACACGCTCCAAGGTGCTGACCTGGGTGTTATCCTCCATGGTGTGAATGGTAAAATCGATCTCAGGGACAGGCTTCTTCTCCTGAATGGCGCGAATAGCATTGTCGACCTGGACGTTGCGTCGCTCCTCAGTAGGGGGCGCAGTGTTGGCCTCGCCTTCAGAGTCCATGGTGGGCGGCTAGGGGGCGACGAGGCGAGAGGAGGATGGAGCTGGCGGCGGTGAAGGCGTTGATAGTTGTGATCGATGGATATGCGATACTTATAGAAACTTGCACAAAGATAGAATGCAATGCGACTATGTAAAAAGGCAGACGGCGATGCGCAAGAGAAGTTTCTGAGCAAATGCCGTGGCCGGTTATGAAAGAAGGCGGTTACTGGATATAGGTAGGGCTGACCAGAAGAGCGGCGGGAGGTCAGGTTGGGAGGTAGGAATTCAGCAGCCACTGCCAGTGGGGAGATGACGGTTGAGCGATTCTACAGGAAGGTGCCACCGAGTTTGCGTACCCTGGGAGGGAGCTTAAGTACTGATCCAGCATTGGCAGGTGGAGATATACTAGTGAATGCGGGCACAGTACTTGCTCGTCTGGACAGCTCTTCTGAATCTGACAGCTCCTCACGTTTCAATGACAGGTGCTGGCCTCGGTCCAATTAGAAGATAGCAGTAATTAAAGGCAGGAGTCTCGCTCGCGTGGTCATCATTCGTTTACCAATGGAAAGGACACAGCTGAACTTTCCATTCTCTCTTTGCGCTACTGCGCAACGTTAATCTGTCCTACGGGGAAGGGAAAGCTAGGTACCTAAGGTACCAACCGTCTGCCCTGAAACTTGCTGCTAAAATCGGATATTTGGCTGGGCCTAGAATCTTATCAACGATGCAAGTGGGATAACGGTTTTGACGAAGAGAGCGGTGAATGGGACAATATTATTGCTCACTTCGTAACATTCTGCGCATTTGCGTTCATATCGACGTTTTTCACGATCCTGCCCATGTGGTCAATAAGTTTTGTCCACCAAACCCACTGAGGCAGAGGAATCCGAAATCTGATGATCATTGATGAGGCCATGGTTGTTCACATTCCTAGCCCGTGTTGCGCCCATCTACGGTTCGCTATTACAAGTCGCCAACAAGTCTGTGCTCCTCTTGCCTGCTGAGTAGTTCGTCCATGTGCAGACCATCAGAACCTTGCTTGGAACGGTCATTTCCTGATAAAGCCATCTTGGCGTTTCTGGCTCAGGATGTTAACTTTGAGCACATTACATTATCTGACCTCAGCCAAGTCTGAGGGCAGCTGCCAAAACGACGTTAACATATGTATTCATATTTAATGCGATACCTTTGATATCTGCTCTCCAAACTCCCTTGTGCCAATGCATAGGTAGGCAGCTAGTCTTGTTACCCAAACATGACATGGCATGAATGCTCAACTGCGAACAGTCTATATCCTTTAAGGAACACAGTAACCACCATCAACGACCAGGTCATGACCAGTGGTAAAGGATGAGGCATCACTAGCCAGGTACAGATAAGCTCCCTTGAGCTCTCCAGTTTCGCCTTGACGTCTAGATATGATGTTAGTCAACAGCAAGTGAAATTTCGATGTCAGTCCAGGCTCACCCAGCAACTGTCTTTTCCTTGAAAATGTTCTTGACATCCTCGCTGATGAAATCTGTGATTTCGGTCTTGATATATCCAGGTGATACAGTGTTGACACGAGCAAAGCCTGTCCATTCAACACCCAGGGATTTACCTAAAAGCCTATAGTTAGCCGTGGAAGCTCCGTTCTGAAAACTATACAACACTTACAAAAGTGAATGACAGCTGCCTTCGAAGCGTTGTATACTGCCTGCAATTGGGGGATGTTGACGATGCTTCCACTCATAGATGCTGTAGCAATGAAGCTGCCTGCCACAAAATTGGTCAATTTCTTTCCATCCAGCGTTGTGCCCTCTTTCTTCTGTCTTCGGAAATGTGCTCCTGCACTCTTGGCGCACCACATAACACCGTCGACGTTGACCTCCATAACACGGCGAGCTCTCTCAGTAGGCCCGTCGATGAAGGGCCCGTCTTCCCAGGCAATACCAGAATTGGCCACAAACACATCTAGACGACCATTGAAGTCGGTGATAATGTCGTTGATGGCCTTGTCAACTGCTTCGGGTGAGATAACATTGACTTGGTATGCTCGGCCTGGCACTTCATAAGTCACGATGCTATTGAAAAGGGATAAGCTGGCTTACACTTGACACCGTAGTCCTTTTCGATCTTCTCTGCTTCTTTCAGTGCTTGCTTGTTGCTATTGTACCAGATAGCCACATTGGCGCCAGCCTCTGCCAGCCCTTGAGCAATGGCGAGGCCAATACCTGCACCAGCGCCAGAGACAATGGCTGTGCGACCTTTGAGAGAGAATAGGGGAAGAACTCTGGAAGTATCTGGCACAGCCATGTTATCATGGTGAAATGCACCAGTTTTAGGATCCATGTTTGCGGATCAGGTTGAACTCAGACAATATTGATGTTGCTACGCTTGAGCCTCTGGCGTTGAGTGATAAGCTTCAGGTCGGCAAGGTTATGCACCCAAATCAATATTTGCAGGGCACCGTCATACTTTATATAGTCCTGTAGGTTTTGTCCAATACCAAACATCCTCGGCTCTTCTCCCAATTGAATATCTATCCTCAATTTGCGACATTTTATCGACGAACCAAATACAACAGACCAAGAATCTTCCACAGCCCTTGTCCCTTCGGTGGAACCAACGCACTGTATTACCTTACCTTGAGGTCTGGAGGTTAGCAAGGCACAAAGACGTCTCCACCATCTGGCGCGCCTATGAACAGGCGTCATTCACAGATTAGCCGTTGTAAGACTTGATGTTTTGTGATACGCTGTACCAGCTTCGTGGAGAAATGCCTCTAGTGTGATTGCTATTTCTGTCAGGGCCCTGTTACTGTCCATTCAGCTCTGAACAATTTCCCATATCTCGCCGGGATGAGTCTGTCAAGTGGCTGAATGGATTTCGCGGGGTTAAAGCGTTCCCCGCCATTAACATAACCTCGTCTCTGCATTCAGGCTGGCGATTATCGCGGGTAAAATGAAGCCTCTATCTGTCTAATGTTGAATAACACAGACACAACCTGCTACAGCCGGGAAGTTATGCGACTCGAGTTCTGATTCATGAGTCCTACTGGTAAGGCGCCAACTATTTCAACAGTCATCCAGCTAAAATCGAATCGCTTCCTTGTTTACCAGGCTTCTTCAACTTTTCTCTATGACAGGCGCTTCGTGTTTGGGAGCTTCAGTAATCTCTTTGTAGTTCTTGCCCCGACCATAACCCATCCTTGTTCTGTTGTTGTAGCTGCGTCCAGCGACCCGACCTCCTGGGGTGTTTGTCACCCGGTAGCAAGACACAAAGTCATCATAAGGGACTGATGAGTGAAAGGTCAGCCATTATTAAAGTTCAGAGCATTGATTGAAGACCTACTGTAGGCGCCGCAGATTCGCCGAATACCCTTGAATGCACTTCGGCCGTGCAAAACTCGCCAATTGTTGAAGACTGGAAAAGGTCAATATGTGACTTTTATTTTGGCAAGGCATCTCTCCACTTACTGACGATCTTTCCGGGTTCTAACTTGAACCAATATTCATTCTCTTTGCGGCGCAGTATCTCATTCCACACTCGAGCCGCGGCGTACCAGTTCTTGGCGTCATAGGGATTCACAGCACCACGATCGTCGTTATTCCAACGAATTCGCTTCAGATGCCCACCATCCTCCTGCTCGATGACAGGATACACTTTGTCTGGAGAGATAGATATTCCTACGTTACCGCTGGCATGCCATGGCAGCTCAACTTGGGCAAGAGTTTTGAAAGCCCAAGGGTTCTCCTTTCTTAGAGTTACAGCAGCTTTGAAGCCGTCAACAAGGAGTGACTCTCCGCCTAGAGACTCCCCTTCCTCAAGCGCTTCACCCGGAGCTGGCTCGTGTGAGAGACAGTGAAATGCTTGTAAGCCTGCAGGCTCGGTAAAATATGTAGTGTCTGTATGAGCTGGCAGAGCGAGGTTTGTGTACGCTGTATCAGCCATAGCAAGATCCGGCGTAAAGTCGTAGAAGCCGCCATAATGTGTATTTCTGATCGGACCCAGGCGCTTTAGGAGATCTTCCGTGGACTCGGGATAGACTGGTGCATCTGTTACGAAGCAGAAGCCGTGAATACGCTAGGATGCATAAGCTATTGCACCATGGTTATGGGGTTCAAAATGCCCTACAATCTTTTTTGTAAGCTCACCGATAGCTTCCCAACCATGGTCGACGAAGAATTGGTTGTAAGGAACTGAGGGTGGATGAGTCTCAATGGATGAGTCCCACAATCGGATCATACTAAACTATTAGAGATCTCGACATTGCAAGGAGGTTAGTGGTGGCGAGCTTACTGATCTTTGCCAAACTCTTCGGCATACGCTCCTTTGAACCAGCAGGAGAGGTATGACAGAGGATGCTGGCTCTCGTGGCCATCGGACCCTAATGGCAGTCAGTATTTATCGACAGCGCCACTCAAAATCAAATCGGCTCTTACAGTTAACGTGGAGCTTGTCCTCTGTTTCTTTGAAATCAACGACTTTGAGATCCTCCTCTCTCAACTAACTCGTGTATCAGTTTAGCCACATGGCGCCCAATGTGACGTAGAAGTAAGTAGTCACTCACCTGGAAAGTGTCAACATTCCTTTGCTTTGTATCCTGGTTAACACATTCGCTGCATTGGCAGTTATCTCTAGAAACCCATGAGCGTTGAGCAAGCGATTGAGAGTGGTCGTCTACTCACCGTAACCACATGTTAGGACTTTACCCCAAGGCCAAATGTCAGCAACCTCGATCTCATAAGCGCGGCTTCACTTACAAGGTACGATACTCGGTGGTACTTTTGCCATCCAAGGCCCGGCGTTCCATGCGGATCTGCGATGTTTCTGTACGTTGAATAGTTGTTTTGTGGGCGGACTTTTCGATTATTCCCATCTCTGATTGGGCTTCCCTTTGCCTCCTTTTGGCTTCCTGGGATAGCATTGAGCCCAGACTGTACGTTTTCTTTCCAGAGACTGCGGCGCTTAAAGGACCAGGACGGCTAAAAAGCCTGGTGCTGTAGATAATAGAGTGATTAGCATGGTTGTTAGAGTCGTGAGAGTATCAAATTACCCTGAACATCGAGCAAGTCGACTGAACATTGCGATGGAGTTGAGAAACAGTAAATAATACTAGATATTTTGTTTAGAGGTCAATGGTTATGAAAGAACAGTCGCATGATACAGTGCCTTCTTTTCCCAGCTGCATAAACCTCGGTATATATCGGCAGCTCTGACATTCGCATCAGGATTCTCCGACGACCCGAGTTCGCGTGAGTCGACAAAGTAAAGGGCGTTTTTGTTCATTGACATGGATGGCACGTGCATAGGTGGAGCTCAACTACACTAACCGGCTCCAAGGTAATGTTGCACTTACATACTTGAAATAATTATTCACTGTTCAGTTTTTGTTTCTGCTCTGACAACTCTACTTGCTACTGAGATTTCCAAGGAATGATTCAATGGATGGCTGAACCGCCGTTTATAAAAGTAAACCCTTTGCTGAGTTCACTTTCCATGAAGCACGGGCTAAGAAAACGGAGCTACACGTTTGCCATTTCCACTGAGGAAACTTGTTATTGTATATGTGTATGTGCATGGAGGAGACCTTCCTTTGCTCAATTAAATCTTTTTGTCAAAGTGCTTGGGGAGAACAGCCGCTCGGATGGCACGGCGTGTCCTAACCATCATAAATCAGAGGCAGAATGAACGAGTACAAACAAGGAAGACTGCTTCATCATTAGTGGAGGCCTATGGCAGGAATGGACGTAAACAGATATCCGGTACTTTTTTATTATATTACTGATTATTTTATTAAACGTTAAAAGTGTTTTAGTTTCCAGTGACCAGCGTGACTGGAGACGGGAATATACCAAAAACATAACCAGCATGACCAATATGGTGCCATAGGATATACATCATGTTCATATGTTTCGACAGCCAACACCTCGGAGTGCACTAGGCGATAGTTCTCTATTGGATTTGCAATTACCTTGAAGTTTGCAGACCTTTCACTCGTTGAAACAGGTAGTTGGGATTGAGAATTCTTGGCTCAATGCTTATATGCTCCTCTATGATAAGGTAATTAAAGTAATCGAAATACATAGACCATGCGATATGGCATCGAACTAATAAAACTCCAATTAGGCTTTAACCTCAACTTCCACCACATCCCTGAACGAGAAGCATGCGCAAGCTATACCAAGCTCACTACAAGCATTGCCATTCGCCTGAACGGTGGAAAAACCTCGCCATCGCACAGTCGTACCCATTGGGATAACATCCAGCGGCGGGGCCGACATCACGGCAGCAGAGCCACTCGCCTCGGAGGAGGATTTGCCCAGTGAGAGCAATGGGGTGGGTAGCACCGGCGAGGTTTTGGCAACATAGACTCTCAAATTCGTTGAGCAAAACCATGGTTATCTGAAGACCTCAAGCGGGGCAGAGCTCAAATCGAGTACACTTTCTGGGCAAGCTCTAAAAGATCAAAGAAAGCTTCACGCTCCAGATCTGTTTTGGAAAGCCCAAGTCCAAGGACCAGTATTCGTCGGTCATCAGGCGATCTGAGACAAATTTGGCTGGCAATCTGTGCTGCATAAAGTTGACCTAGAGTTTCACGCTCCTCACCCCCTCCACCAAATAGCGTTGTTGGTGTGAGATGTGTTGATGGAAGAAGGCCTTTGCTTGAGCTGGGAAGATTCATCTCAACAACTCCAGATGACGATCCTGTTAAGGGGACTTGTATCTGTCACGATGTCAGCTATGGTAGAGCTTGAAGACTCGGAATACTCAATTACCCATTGTGAAAGTCGACCTTCTTGGGAGATAGTGATGAGTATCTTATCAGCGAAACTTGTGTATGTAATCTCTGTAGCTATGCCATTCACGAGACCCGAAACCTCTCTAGATCTCGAAGGAAAAGAGTCTTCCCTAACATCAAGAGTCGCCATTTTTGAAGAAGTATTATGCTTGAGTAGAGTTTAGCTGTAGCTTTGAAACCAACCATTCGAGCTACCTACTGGGCTAGGTTCAGGCGTTCCATGCCGCTGAGCTAGGCGGCCCCACCACCCCGCACTATACCTAAAGCAGGTCCAGGTTCTGGCGGTAATTCACGGCAGAATGACTTTGATCCCAAAATTTCATAGAATTCATCGTCGTCCCTGCGCCTTGGGTTGATCCTCTAACGTATCGATATTTCATGCCATTTTCGCAAAATTTATTGTCAATTCGCTAGACAATTAATTTAAAATGGCCAAATACGTTCCTCGTCAACGCAAGCATAAAGTCCTCGCCCGTGAACGAGCCAAGGAGAATGCTCAGCATGAAGTCCAGGAGAACCCAAACCAGGAGATTCTCCTGCCGACGGCCAAGGCTGATCGGGAGGCCAGAAAGGCACAGATGAAGGCAGAACTCCTTCAAGAAGGCGCGAAAATGAGCGGGAAGAAGGCCAAGCGTTTAGAGAAATACATCGAGGGCAAGCTGCGCAAGGATGAGTCTCGCGAGCTGATGGCCAAACTTGCTGAGCAACAAATTGACACAACCTTGTTCTCGAGCAGCCGAGTCCTTGGACAGGGTCGCGAAACCAAGAAAGAGGCATTGAGGCGGGCTATGAGAGAGGAGAAAGCTGGTTTAGAGGGCGGTGAGGAGGAGAGAAGCGAGATTCTTCTTGAGAAGAGAAAAGAGCTTAACGCGGATGAAGATATCTCGAGCGATGAGAGTGAGAAATCCGAGCCCGACGAACAGAAGCCATCCAAGCACACACCAACTCCTGCGCCCGCGCCCACATCCAAAGAGTCGGACCAACCGAAAACAGAAACCTCTGCACCAACAATTGGCTCGGGTCTGAAGAGACCACTGGAGGTCGACGATGAAGGACGACCGGTGATCAAAAAGCGTCAAAAACGAGGTGGAGTCAAATCAAAATTCTCCCTGGCGCCAGTGGAAACGCCATTTGAGCTCGAGTCTGAAGAAGCCGACAGTGTTGCAAGTGATAGCGATAGCGACGAGTGGAATGGTTTCAGCGACGACTCGGCTGATAAGGATAACACTGTAGATGATGACAGCGAAAGCGATGAGGAAGAATATGATGAATCCAGTGAGGAACCCGAAGAGTCTGATGAGGACATGGAAGACGCGGACGAGAACAAAGCACAGAGGTCATCGTCTTTCAAGGCATGGGCACACCAACAGCGAAACGAAGCTCTAGGTTATCAATCCATCGAGGGAACAACAACAAATCTTGAAATCCCCAAGCCAGAAAATTTTGTTCCCCGAGCCCCTGAGCAAGATCCTTTACCGATGGAACTGCAACCAACGCAGAATATAAATCGAAAGGTTTACAGCGTAACGGTTACCAGAATACCAGAAGTCCAGGAGGCTAGGCTAAAACTTCCTGTGGTATCAGAGGAACAAAGGATAATGGAAGCGATTCATAACCATGACATTGTCGTTGTTTGCGGTTCCACAGGTTCCGGAAAGACTACTCAAATTCCTCAGTTCTTGTATGAGTCTGGTTATGGCTCACCCGACTCACCAACACCTGGTATGATTGGTATCACTCAGCCCCGTCGAGTCGCTGCTGTCAGTATGTCGAAGCGTGTTGGTGAAGAACTTGGTGATAAGTCTGAGGTGGTGGCCTACCAGATCCGTTTTGAGGGCACAGTTGATCCTAAGACGGCTATCAAGTTCATGACTGATGGTGTCTTGCTACGAGAAGTTGCTCAGGATATCACACTGAAGAAGTACTCGGCCATTGTCATCGACGAAGCTCATGAGAGAAGCGTCAACACGGATATCTTGATTGGTATGCTCAGTCGAGTTATTAAGCTCCGAGCAGAGCTAGCAGCAGAGGACCCTACGGTCAAGCCTTTGAAACTCATCATCATGTCTGCTACATTGCGGATAGAAGACCTTACCATGAATCCGACGCTGTTTGCTACTCCACCGCCAGTATTGGAGGTTGAGGGCCGGCAACATCCTGTCACTATTCATTTCTCCCGAAGAACTCAGCATGATTACGTGGAAGAGGCCTTCAGAAAGATTAGCAGAGGGCATAAGAAGTTACCACCTGGTGATATCCTTGTGTTCTTGACTGGCCGCAACGAGATTCTAGAACTCAGCAAGAAGCTAAAGGCTACATTTGGCGGTCCAAAGACTGCGGATGGGCCCAAAGTACAGATATCTGCTAGCGAGGCTCCCATTGAGGTCGAGGATATTGAATTTGGAGACGTGGATGACCGTAATGGCGATGATTTCGATGAGATACCCACAGATGACGAAGATGAGGACGACGAGGACGAGTTCCAGATCGAAGAGGACCAGGAGGTTGCACCGTTAAAGATGCGAGTCTTACCCCTTTACTCCTTACTTCCAACACGCGAGCAGATGCGAGTCTTTGAGCCAGCACCTGAGGGTACAAGGAACATCATCTTGGCAACAAACGTTGCGGAAACCAGTTTGACTATTCCTGGCATTCGATATGTCTTTGACTGTGGACGGTCAAAAGAGAGGCAGTATGATCGCCTTAGTGGAGTTCAGAGCTACGATATTGGATGGATCAGTAAAGCCAGCGCAAACCAGCGATCTGGTCGTGCGGGCCGTACCAGTCCTGGACATTGTTACAGACTCTACTCCTCTGCAGTATATGAGAGAGATTTCCCACCTTTCACAGATCCCGAATTGTTGCGAATGCCGATTGAGGGTATCGTGCTACAGCTCAAGGCGATGAACCTGCAGCATGTCGTCAACTTCCCCTTCCCTACACCACCTGATCGACGAGCCCTTGCTAAGTCTGAGAAGCTATTAACATATCTCTCTGCTATCTCATCAACAGGACAGGTTACGCAGATTGGTCAAACAATGTCTGTGTTCCCCCTGTCTCCTAGGTTTGCGCGCATATTATTGGTTGGCCATCTTCATGACTGCATTCACTACACAATTGCTCTTGTTGCTGGTTTATCAGCCGCCGAAGTTTTTCTTCCTGAGAACCAAGCGATTCCTGCCCTCGCAGCGAAGGATGATACCGCTATTCGTACAACATCAGACGTCATTGCAGAAGATCGTCAAGCTAATGTGCGAAAGATGTTTAACGAGGTTCACAAGAACTTTTGTTACCTAGACGATAAATCAGACGCTATCAAACTTCTGCAAGTCGTGGGTGAATTTGCTCATGAGCCTACAGAAGAATGGTGTGAGAGTCATTTTGTACGATACAAGGTGCTTAAAGAAATACAACAGCTGCGAAGACAAATCACAGAATTGTTGAGAACAAATGTTTCGGCTTTTACCAACCTGAAATACCAGGACAAGCTGGATCCCCCATCCCCCAAACAGGTCGCTGCCCTGAAGCAAATGGTCGCGGCCGGCTTCGTGGATCAGGTTGCTATTCGAGCAGATCTTACACCCAACCCCCCTGAGCAATTCCGCAAGCCTCGCCGGTCCATCGATGTTCCATATATCCCCTTGATTCCTATCCACGCTGGCAAGGAGGTCGAAAGCGACCGTGCAGTATACATCCATCCCACCTCACCTCTTGCCCACATCAGCATTCAGGAGTGCCCGGAGTACATCGTCTACTCCTATCTCCAGCGAGCTGCGCAATCAGTTGATACGGAGAAGCGCCCCAAGACAAGAATGCATGCCCTTACAGACGTAACTGGCGGGCAACTAGCAGGGCTGGCCAAGGGAACGCCCCTTATCACCTACGGCAAGCCGATCAAGGAGCTTAAGCCTACAACGGGCACAGATGGAGCTACAGTACGAGAGTGTTTCGTGGTTCCATATTTGAGAGCCGAGAGCACTGGTGGTCAAGGATGGCCTCTCCCCGCGAAGAAGGTGAAGCAGAGAAAGGTTCCTGGCAAAGGATGGGTTGTGGAGTAGAGGTTGTAGATATGGAAGATGTTTTCGATAATTTAGTCTTGAAATAGATAGGATACTTCGTGGTTCATAGAAAATGGGATTTCATGTATTGGATATTTTCGCTCCGAGTCTCTGCAGTAAACGTGTTGCGTGATTGAGTGATCTCGACGTCATTATGCAAGCATGATGCTATAAGATGAGAACTTCAGAGAACACGGCTTCAATTGAGCTCGTGAGACTTAAAATTGTGCATTTGCGGTCATATACTTCTGTAAAACTGGGCAAGTTAACCATTGATATGCCTGGAAAATCCAATACCCTTTTCCCAGGCGTGGCTTTGGTCACTGGCGCCGCATCAGGTATGGTCCATTGCTCCAGATAGCTACCCCCTCTAATGATACAAGGTATTGGAAGTCAAGTCGCTATATCATTTGCCATGGAAGGGTGTCGGAGGCTCGCCCTGTTTGACAAAGACAGCACAGGCCTGAACGCTACTAAGGCGGCCATCAAATCCGTAAGCGGAAATGCAGACCCAGATGTGTTCATCAGACACGTTGATAATCTGGACACCTATGAAGTTGGCAAGAACATGGAACTTGCTATCAGGCATTTCGGACGCATTGACTATGCCGTCAACTGTGCTGGTATGTCTACACGCTGTTTTACTTTGAGTCCTACTCACAATAACTCTGAAAGGAATCTACGGCCCAACAAAGAAAAGTCATGAAGCAACCCCTGAAGAGTTTGATCATGTCATCAATACCAACTTCCGTGGTCTGTGGCTGTTTGCGAAAGAAGAGCTAAAATATATGATCAGTCAAGATATTGGAGCTACTCATGATGGACGGCCTGGGTTTAGAGGTTCCATTGTCAATGTTGGAAGCAACCTTGGCCTTGTGGGAAAACCAGAGACTCGTACGGATACGTTATACCTTGAACAGACTCAAACTTTGGTTGACAGTTGGGACAGCGATGTACAGTGCTTCAAAGGCAGCTATCATCAGTTTGACGAGAAGTGATGCTATCGACGTAAGTCGGACTAATGGCTTGACACCCCTACCTTCTTATTTAACACACGCAGTATGCAAAAGATCAGATTCGTGTTAATTGCGTCTGCCCTGGAGTTATTGAGTAAGTTGTCTTTTGATCTCCCTGTGTCCATACTGACATCGCAGAACTCCTATGACGGCTAGTGTTCCGGAAGATGACCCGGCTGTACAGACTGCCGTCATGAAAAGAAAAGGGACCCCACAGGAAGTAGCAGATGCTATTTTGTTCTTATCTGGTCCTAAGGCTTCTTTCATTCAAGGTGCTGCATTGTCAGTTGATGGGGGTTATACTGTCAGTTAAGGGCATTGAAAGAGATCCATGACAAGGGCACAATAATGAACTGTATTGGGGTATCAAATTCCTGTATAAAAACTCAAAACATCACTTTTCCCCAGGGTAACGCCATGCTCTTGCTGGATAATAACTCAAGACGCAGCTGGTGTGCTAGTAGAGTTTACCATTTTGCTCTTCTTACGCTTTGGCTTGGGAGCAGTCGCTGATTTGGGTGTTTTCTCCTTACTCTCCTTGCTCTCTTTCTTATCATCGATCTTTGTATTGATCGTCGGCGCATTAATACTCCTGATGGGCCCATCCGTCCTTGCGATTTGGGGTGGTTTGCGGCCTGTTGTTGTGAGGTGGAACTCTCCTGGGCGACCTGTGATAGGGTTCTCGTCAATGTATTCGCCCCCGTACTTCATGTGAATCATGAAAGACTCTTCTGCAAGTCTCTCTAGTGACTTCTCATCATCCTTCTGTGCGGCTGCTGCATGGGCAGCTGGACCTTTGCTAGTTTCATCCGATACAGGCATTGGGGTCGCCGCTGCAGAGTTCTGGATCCTTGGTTTCGTTGATGTCTTGGCTGATGGGAGCTGGTAAAAGTTACCCATAGAAGGCCCCCATTTTCTGACCGACTCGGCAGTTGTCACGGCGTTGGTGACTTGCGAAGATATCGTCAACTATAACAGTGAGGTTAGAACTGTTCGCAAAACAACTGCTCAAAGAACATACAATTCTTGCTGAAAGAATGGCACTGAGAGTCGGCGCCATATAGATATTCTCCCCCACAACGAAGTATGTGGCGTGAACAGTAATCTCGTCGTCGTCGTATGCTGACTTTCGTCTCGTTTGCTTGCGAATGACCCATACACCTGTACCAGCTCCAGGGCCAGTTTCAGCAGGCTCTTCGACAACCCTGAACTCAAGCCCCGACATGGTGTTGAGATGTGTCTCGAAAGCTTCGCGCGTCTGAATGACTGGATACATCGATGGTACATTCATGGCTTGGTTATATACAACAGCGTTGTTCGACGTGCGCTCAAAGAAGGGCGATTCTGCGAAGTAGAAGAGGATGGTGTTATTGTGCAGGCCGCCCATTTGTTGAATCGCCATAGGAGAGCGCCATTGGATCTCATCGAGGGGTGGGTCGTTTGGATTCGACATCGCGAAGAATCCGAATTATTCTGTGAGCACTATCGGCTCCTTTGTTGTATTTGTTGCTAGTTATGATGGTGATATTTCCTTGGGGTTCAGTGTGAAGGTTCAAGAAACCTAACGTATTGAAGCTCCAGCTCTAGGTAGGCATTTGGCGTGGGGTTCCGCTTCTAGCGCGTTACAAGGCGGCAGTGTTCCGCCTCAGCGACCCATTCAGTATGGAAGTAAGAGGCGCCGCGCATCAATTTCAACTTCCAACCTTCAATCTCACAACCTTTGCAGCTCATAACGACGAAAAGAAAACCCGCCCACATATCGACATAAAAAAGGAGCCTCATCTAGCTTAGACTACCAGCACCCAAAACACGCCATGGATCTGCTTTCAAGTATTCGCAAGACCGGTTCAAGAGGAGGCGTCAACTTTAGCTGGGATGAAGTCGCAAGCTGTTCACATCGCGAAAACTATCTCGGCCACAGTCTTAAGGCACCTGTTGGACGCTGGCAAAAAGGCCGCGATCTCAACTGGTACGCTAAAGCGGAAGACGACTCTGGAGAACCCAAGGAAGATGGCGAGACCGAGGAGGAGCGTCGAGAGAGAGAACGAAAGGAAGAATTGCGCAGAATCAAAGAGGCTGAGGAGGATGCTATCGCAAAAGCCCTGGGTTTGCCACCCCCGGTACGAAACTCTTCCGGTGCGAACGCGGTAGAGGTTGATCCCAGTAAACGAAAAGTTGGCCCGGAAAGCGGCCCTCCTGAGGAAACTGGGAATGAAAAGAGGGAGAACTCAAGACTGCATGACGATACCGAGAGGCGAGAACGACGAAGACATCGAAGTCGCGATCGCGGTCATGATCGCGAGCGTCGCCATCGACGACACAGGAGGAGCCGAAGTCGCGACCGTGACCAAGGCAGGGAACGGGATGAGGATAGACCAAGACACAGACACAGAGATAGAGATGGTGACAAGGAAAGTACCCATGGTCATAGACGCCACCGGGAGGGTCATCGAAGAGGAGGTACGGAGGAAGACGAACGACGATACAGAGATAGGAGCAGGGAGCGCCGCCGATCAAGGTCGAGAGATAGACGCAGACGCAGTGCCAGTCCTAAGCCTCATCGTCGAGACTAAAGTCACCGCTTCTGGCCTTGAACTTGAAAACAGTCGAATATGAGATACCCCTTCCAGCGAAATCAAGGAAAAGAGTCAAGTCACCGTTTGTATCCATCTTGCGTACAAATCAATGAGTCAATTCATTGCGCCTCGCATATAGCAGGAAGCTTGCATACTTTTTAAGCTCTCTACCTGACCCAACGCCATACCAAACCACTGTTGTTACATTCATGCTATTACAAGATTAAGACTGGCTAAGGGGTTGGCCGTCTTTAGCCTTCTGAGCACCATACTTCTCCAATCGGATTGACTGAATAGCAATGAAGCCCGTGCTGTCCATGGGAGAAAAGGTGTCAAGACTGTCCATTGACGCATCCTCCTGGGAGTAGAGGCTGCTGGTCTCGCTGGATCGGCCAAGGACGTAAACATTGCCCTTGTACGCACGGAGGCGGACCTGGCCGTTGACACCCTTTTGAGCAGAAACGATTGCCTCATCGAGCCACTCACGCTCAGGGGAGAAATACATGCCATTGTAAAGGCACTGGGACCACTCGATAGTCACAAATTGATCTCGAAGCTTGCGGACCTTGGAGTCAAGGACAAGACCCTCGAGATCGACGTGAGCAAGGCGGGCGATGGTGAGACCAGGGGTGTCGTAGCAACCTCGGCTCTTGAGTCCAATCCATCGGTTCTCGACACTGTTTAACTGTAAGCATAGTGCTATGCCACGAATGAATTGTGAAAGTGGACATACATGTCAATTCGGCCAACGCCGTGGTCGTGACCAATCTTGTTGAGCAGCTTGAACAACTCTACCGAGTCGGTAGCCTCCTGGTCAGGTGTAGCAACCTTCACAGGGAGACCCTTCTCGAAGTACACGGTGAAGTCGAGAGGCTTGTCAGGGGCCTCAAGAGGATCGACAGTCTGAGTCCAAAGGTCTTTAGGAGGAGTATGATCAGGGTCTTCGAGAATACCGGCCTCGTACGAGCAATGGACGAGGTTCTCGTCCTGGCTCCAAGGAGCCTTGGGGGTCGATGAAACGGGGATGTTGTTCTCGGCAGCGAACTTGAGAAGATCTTGTCGACCTTGGAACTTTTCACAGAATTCGGGGAGTCGCCAGGGGGCGATGACCTTGATGGAAGGGTTGCAAGCCTTGAAGGCGAGCTCGAAGCGAACTTGACTAAGGGGTTCTGTCAGTGATCTATGAAATGGTTTTTTTCGTGATGGAAAGTGCCATACTCGTTCTGCGGCATGTTAACAGGTGGTTCTCAAAGTATGAGGGTTTTACTTACGCCTTTGCCTGTGCAGCCATGGCTCAGAAGATTGCAGTTGTACTTCTCAGCAACGCGGACCTGGGCGCGAGCGATTACAGGTCGGGCCAGAGCAGTTCCAAGGAGGTATCGGTCCTCATAGATGGCATTGCACTGGATTGCTCGGAAAACGATCTGCTCGACGAATTCCTTCTGAAGGTTTTCAATGATCATGCGCTCCGCGCCGAGAGCGAGGGCCTTCTTTTCGACAGCATCGAAGTCCTCGACCTGACCAACATCCGCGAGGAAGCACTAAAGCAGGTATGTCAGATTGAACCTGTAGAAGCAACTGGAGGAGGTTCACATACCACAACCTCATAGCCCTCGAGAATGAGCCATTTCAAAATAGTAGAGGTATCGAGACCTTGACCAAATGTCAGCAATCAATCTCACATTCGATCACTCCAGGTGCAGTTTGGAGAAGGAGTCAGAAGTGTGTACCTCCAGAATAGGCACTGCAATCAAGAGTTAGCGGATGTTTTTGTATCAGAAGCCTGCCATCAACGGCATATGGACTTACAGACAGACACGGCCTTTGGACATTGTGAAGTTGTTTTGTTGTGAGGTTTGCTGTTATTTGGCTTGGATGACGAGAAATGGTGATGTTGAGCAGCCAGCTTCGGTGTGTGCAAGTGTTTTGAGTTTGAACAAATGGGCAGAGGCGAATGGAATTTGTTATATACTACAATTTTGGCTCACTTCGAAATACTGTCATCCCGTACAAAAAGCAAAATCCCAACTCAGGCATGCACCCAGCCGTGCCTATCACAAAAACAGTGATTCACTTGCAAGACTTCGGCCTCCGACTCCGGACTCGACCAACTATCTACAAAAACGACCTCAGTTTTAACCTAGATTTCATTTACAGGCTTGGCAATTCCTTGATAGGAAGAGAGTCATAGCAATTTGTTAGGGGCGGGGGGGAACCACCATGAATGGTTCCATTCTGAGCTGCCTAGGCTGCGAATTCGGCTGGCCGAAGCAATTGTTGTTGACTCAATGTCAAAAATTTCCATGAATGGATCTAAGCACGGCCCTGGCAACTCGGTCTAAGTTGATAGGATGGACCCATGATGACGGGTAGCAGCGGTGATCCTCTTTTCAACGAGGCCGGGCTCATTGGAAAATGCCTAGAAATACTCCGTATATGCAACTCTAATGCACTCAGCCTTGGAGTTTCAGTAATGACCGGAGATTCTTCATTTTGGGCGACGCATACTACAAATAGCGTCGCACGAAGCTTTCAGTCAAATCCACCCTCGAGACACCGTCAATTCTTCGAGTCCATCCTAGTCTATCAAAGAAATCGGACTAGAGTACGAGACTCAGTAATCTAATACATGCCTCCTTATGTACCTTAGAAACTAGCGGTGATGATCGTTAGAGGCTTAGAGGTGGACTTAGCGGCGAGGCTGCCCCAGATCACTATATCTTCCCAGCGCGATGGT